TGTTCTACTATTTGAGCTACAGCTCCACTTTGAGCTTTTCTGGTAGGTAGAGGTAAGAATCTCACAGACTTTCTTGCCTGGGCTGGCTTTGAACCATGATTCTCAGATATCAGTCTCCTAGGATTATAGGCATGATTATAGGAGATAGAATTATAGGCGTGAGCCATCAGTGCCTGTCTAACTTCCATTCTTTTAAAGTGTTTTTAAAATTAACATACATTAATAGTACAAGAAATGTTCACTGTGGTAATTTCATGGATACATACAGAATATTTTAAAAGTTATTAATTAACTAATTATGTCAGCTGTGGGGCTTGAACTCAGGGCCTAGGCACTGTCTGAGATTTTTGGCTCAAGACTAGTGCTCTACCATTTTGAGCCACAGCACCCTTCCAAGTTTCTATTGGCTAATTGAAGATAAGAGTTTCATGGACTTTCCTGCCCAGGCTGGCTTCAAACCACAATCCTCAGATCTCAGCCTTCTGTGTAGCTAGGATTATTTATTTATTTATTTATTTTTGTCGGTCATGGAGCCTGAACTCTGGGCCTGGGCACTGTCCCTCAGCTCTTCAGCACAAGGCAAGCGCTCTACCACTTGAGCCACAGCACCACTTCTGGCTTTATCTGCTATGTGGTGCTGAGGAATTGAACCCAGGGCCTCATGCATGCAAGGCAACCACTCTACCATGGAGCCACCTTCCCAGCCCCTGAGTAGCTAGGACTATAAGCATGAGCCACCAGCACCTGCCATACAGTATACTTTAAACAGGTTTTTTCTTTTTTGGGGGGAAGGTAGCAGTACTGGGGCTTGAACTCAGTGCTCTCACTTGGGTTTCTTGCTCACAGCTGGGTGCTCTACCAGTTGAGCTACACCTCCACTTGCAGCTTTTTGGTTGGTAGTTGAAGAATCTCACAGGCTTTTTTCTGCCCAGGCTGAGCGGCCAAGTTCTTAAAATGCTTTTGAGTGAGTGTATATGTGTGCGTGTGTGTATGCACACACACACACATTCATGCAAGTTTTTGGGCTTGAACTCCAGGCCTCCATCTCTCTCTGAGCTGTGTTTTGGTTTTGGGGTTTTTTTTGGTCAGTCATAGGGCTTGAACTCTGGGCTTGGGAGGTGTCCCTGTGCTCTTCAGTTCAAGGCGAGTGCTCTACCATCGAGCCACAGCGCCACTTCCAGTTTTCTAGTGGTTTATTGGAGATAAGAGTCTCACGGACTTTCCTGCCCGGGCTGGCTTTGAACTGTGATCCTCAGATCTCAGCCTCTTGAGTAACTAGGATTATAGGGCGTGAGCCACCGGCACCCTGCTCTGAAAGAGCTGTTTTTACTCAAGACTAGCACTCTACCACTTGAGCCCCAGCCCCACCTCCAGCTTTTTTGGTGGTTAATTGGACATAAGAGTTTCTCAGATTTGTCTGCCCCTGCTCACTTTGAACTGTGATCCTCAGATCTCAGCCTCCTAAGTAGCTAGAATTACAGATGTGAGCTGTTGGGGCCTGGTTTAAAGTACTATTTGGTGGAGAGAGGGCAGGGATGCTAGTCCTAAAGCTTGAACTCATTTATGCTTAAGATTTGGCCAAACCTCCACTTTGGGTTTTGTTTTTTCTTTTGGTTGGTCATGGGGCTTGATTCAGGGCCTGGGCGCTGTCCCTGAGCTTTTATGCTTGAGACTAGTGTTCTACCACTTAGAGCCATAGCTCTCCTTCCAGTTTTTTTTGTTTTTTGTTTTATTTTGTTTTGGGGGCTTTTTTGCAGGAAGTGGTGAATTGAAGGTGAGAGTCTCCCAGACTTCCCAGCCTGGGCTGGTTTCAAACTGCAATTTTCAGATCTCAGGCTTCTGAGTAACTAGAGTTATAAATGTGAGCCACCAGTGCCCACCTAAAGTATTTTTTGATAGGGCCAAGTCAAGGAAGGAACTCAGGCATTTTATTTTTCTTTCAGTGTGTAATATACTTTTTAAAAATCTTGAATGGAAGCTGGGCACCAGTGGCTCGTGTCTGTAATCCTAGTTACTCAGGATGCTGAGATCTGAGGATTGTGGTTTGAAGTAGTACTGTGGCTCCAGTGGTAGAGCACTCTCCTTGAGCCAAAAAGAAGCTCAGGGACAACACACAGGGCCAGAGTTTAAGCCCCAAGACCAGCAAAAAAGTAAAAATAAATTTTTAAAAATCTTGAATGGAAAGCTGAGAAACAAGAAGTATCTTTTGTATTCCGGCTTCATGTCATCTCTTCAGTAAATCCTTTTCTCAGGCAGAATGACAATTATTATCTAATGAATAAGGCTATATTGAACATACAGTACTGAGAATCCCACCTTTCTCTTCATAAAGCCAATATTGCTTGAAATAATTGCTAGACTAGTCATCAAACAATGGGATGCCGTGATGTGCCTTTCTGGTGATGGGAAAGAAGGAGAATGGGGAGATGGGGGGAGGGAAAAAGCGGGGAGAAGAAAAGGAAAGGAAGATACAATAAGAGAGTGAAGAGATGATGGGAGACTTGGACTGAGAAGTCCTGGATCAGGAGGATCACAGCTCTGCCTCTTGAGAAGATGAGGTACAATTGTGGCTTACAACCCCCAAAAGTTGCAGATGTGGAGACAGTGCTGAGGCCTGGAGATGAGTGATTTGCAGGTGAGATGGGCATGGTGCATTAAAGCGGTAGAGAAAAGCCCTCATGGAGAGCTGAGGGAGCAAGGGCAGAGCAGAGGAGGCAAGAGAGGAAGAAACATGAGCCGTGGGTCATAGGAGGATGAAAGCAGGAAATGTATGGAGACCGGCTGCTAGGCAGGCCAGCATTCAGATGAACTGGATATGGAGCAGAGGAGACAGTGGTTCTGGAGTTGGTAGAAGATGTGAAGGGCTGAAAGGAGGCTGCTGTCATCTAACAGCGCATTGATTAGGACTCCTTGAGCAGACTGGCTGAGAGGATGGAGGGAGGTGGAGGGACTGTGGTCTGATAATGAGATCATAGGCCTTCTCCAGGCATCAGCGCTGCGGTCAGCAAATTAGCCCAGACCCAGGTAACAGGTGTGGATAGGAAGGAAGAGTGGGTGAAGAGGAAAGAAAGTAGGCTGCTGCCATCGGCGGTTTATATCTGTCACGGTTCATTCTGGGAAGAGGAGCCAGCTACTCTCTGCAGTCATTTCAAGGAACCAGACCTGCTTAGAGGGGAAGGGGCTGGGAAGGTGAACCAGAAGTGTGACACGTACCTCCCCTGTTCTCCTGAGCCCTAGGCAGGGACCAAAGGGAATCTGAAAGTAAGTCCTAGCAGCGTACTTGTGGCTTATGCCTTTAATCCTAGCTACTCAGGACGCTTTGAGCCAAGATCCTCTGAAGACAAATCTGAGAGACTCTCATTTCCAATTCTCCTGCAAAAAGCCAGACACAGAGGTATGGCTCAAGTGATAGAGTACCAGCCTTGAGCAGAAAAGCTAAGCAAAAACTTGAGGCCGGCACTGAGTGCTTGAGCACATGCGCACATGCACACACAATCCAAGTCCAGACTCCAGTAGGATTTGAGGGAGCAGCTACAGCTGCTCTGCTTGTTGGCCAGCAGGACCCGCAGTCAGGAAGATATAGAAGGTGTGGCGCCCAGGAGACCCATCAGTAAACTAGAACATGCCAGAGACTGCTATCCGCCCGAGGCCAACCATGGTGATTTCCTAGGAGAAGCAGCAGTGGCTTCTATGTCACCTTCCCAGGCTCTGCTCAGTTCTCTTTGCACCAGTCCCAATCCCCAGCCACCTAGCCATGGGGACTCAGAATGGCTCCTGGCCTACTTAGCAGGTCAGTGCACACCATTGAGCACAAGGGATTGAGGGCCATTCTCTTAGATACGAAGATGCGAGACAAGACCAAAGCTCAAGATTTTTTGTTGTTTTGTTATTATTATTAAGTACTTGTACAAAGAGGCTTCAATTCCGTAAGTTAGGTTATAAATACAATGTGTCTTTTATCAATGTCACCCCTTCCTTCGTGCTCCCCCACTTTCCCCCTCCTGTCCCTACCCTCAAGTTACGTAGTTCAGTTTTTACATAATGTGCATTGAATATACTGGCTGCATTTGCTCACCCTTCCTCCCTCCATTCCTTTTGTCCTCCCCCTCAAAACATATTTTCTGCTTCCTGGTATTCATCTTGTTAAACAGGTTGTTGGTTGTTAAGAGGAATCACATCCTTGGACTGAAGAGTCCAATGGTTACCATCCTTCAGTGTTTGTGTCTAGGCATAAACCCCCATCTATGTTATTATGTATGTTTGTATTTAGATCCAACTTCCACATGTGAGAGATACATGGGCTCTCTGATACATGGGCCCAACTTACTTAACGTAATTTTTTCTAGGTCCATCCCTTTCCCTGAAAATGGTCTATTATCCTTTCTGATCGACGAATACAATTCCATTGTACATATGTTCCACATGCTCTTGATTCACTCATCGATGTAGAACATCTGCAAAGCTCATTTTTGTTCCCTGGCTCTATTTGTCCTTGGCCAAGAAGGTGTCACTGAAACCTGAGCCTCTGTGCTGTGTGCCTCATGTGCTGTCATCTACTTTCACAGGCATTTTCTCCCTCTATCGTAAGTCAGCGCTACTGTTCTCTATTACTGTAAATCAAGGCCCTGGCAGATCTTAGGCTGATATAAAGCTAGTGACTCTCAAGTCATTGAGTATATCTTTTAGGATGGATGGAGATAACATCCCGTGGTTTAAAAAAAAAAAAGTAAAATAGTTCTGAGAAGTGTGAAACTGTCATCCTTTCTCTAAATGACTTAATCCAGCAGGTGGTTTTTGATCACTGACTTACTCTGTGGGATGTGAACATGAGTGTTTCTCAGGGTCTGTCATACGCTGGGTAGACATCCGCTCTTTCCTTCTGTCCTCATTGTTCTACTACTCATCTGAGAAACTGAGTGGACATGTGACCAAGATGAGGTAACTCAAAGCTGTCACCTCACCCTGGGTTGATAGTTTTATATCCCTCTGTCTCTCTTCAGGGTCAGGTGTGGATCAATGGCTTTAACCTTGGCCGCTATTGGCCAGCACGAGGACCCCAGAAGACCTTATTTGTGCCACAGCACATCCTGACCACGTCAGCACCCAACAACATCACAGTGTTGGAACTGGAGTGGGCACCCTGCAGGATCCACGCCTTGGAACCGTGTATCGTTGAACTGGTGGATGAGCCAGTTATTAGCACAGAGGAGACGGACCAAATCCTAGGCCTGACAGAGAACCACAAGTGATGGTTGAGGCTTCCTGGACATCCCGTCCTGCCCATCCCTCATGAGTTCCCCCGTAGAGCCGACACTCTCTAGAGACTTAGACTGGAAAATAAATGTAGGGTTGTCACTGGAGGTTTCCCTAGAGCCCCACCGTGCCTGACTCCCTCTCTCCCTTGAACTTAAGGGAGATGACAGCGCAGTCACAAACAAATCAGCAAAGAGGGAAGCCTGAAAAAATGTCACTGATTTTGATTTTGGAAGAATCATGTTGTCTTTTTGCTAAATAAAATTTGTACTCAATGGTGTTCCTTTCTTTTGTTTAATGTTGGAGCTGGTATTAAACGGTTCTTGTCTGACTTAAATCATAACTAGACTTGAGTGGGCTGCATAAGCCACTTCACTTGCTGGAGGTTCAAAGAAATCGTAAATGGGCCTGATTTGATCTAGTGGACTGCTGCGTTTCTGATCCTTATTTGACTTGCTCTTGAATTTCTGTGATAACTACCAGGTAACGCCTAATTACATCTCATAGCAATTATGCACGCAACCTGTGTGATCAACTCACCTTGTAGCTAGTATAGTCCATCTGCATGGTAGAATGGTAGCTGACCATGAATATGATGATGCAAGCCAGTAATCCTTGCTATTCAGGAAGCTGAGATCTGAGGATCACAGTTCAAAGCCAACCCTTATGAGACTCTTATTTCCAACTAGCCACCAAAAAGCTGGAAGTAGAGTTGTGACCCAAGTGGTAGAGCCACCAGCACTGAGGGAAAAAGCTAATGGACAGCACCCCAGTACCAATGTACACACACACATACACACACAATAAAATTAAAAAAGAATAAAATTATGATGCAGATGTTCATGCGAAAACACTAGTCTTAAGAACAGTGCAAGCCGGGCGCTGGTGGCTCACGCCTGTAATCCTAGCTACTCAGGAGGCTGAGATCTGAGGATCGCGGTTCAAAGCCAGCCCGGGCAAGAGAGACCGTGAAACTCCTATCTCCAATAAACCACCAGAAAACCGGAAGTGGCGCTGTAGCTCAAGTGGTAGAGCGCTCGCCTTGAGCTGAAGAGCTGAGGGACAGCGCCCAGGCCCAGAGTTCAAGCCCCATGACCGACAAAAAAAAAAAAAGAACAGTGCATATCTGCATACTCACTGTACTATTATATACATGCCAGTGGCAGGCACACATGGGTGTGGGCATGTGTGCATGACATGCCAACAGGGCCATGCTGTTGAATAATGTATATGGAATTGTAGTGCTCCTTTCTTGAGTACTTGTTTATACTATGCACAGCCCTTGAGACCATTATCATATACATATATATCCTGTATATGTGTGTATATGTATGTGATCTATATGATATATATGTGTGATTTGTTTTTCCACTACTGGAGCTGGAACTTGGGTTCTGATGCTTTAACCTGCCTTTTTCCCTCAAGATTGGCACTCTCCCACTTGAGCCACAACGTCACTGGCTGGCTTTGAACCTCAGTCCCAGACCTCAGCCTCTGAGTCGCTAGGACTACATGCATGAGCCACCAGTGCCCAGCTGAAGACCATATTTAATTTACACACCTCTTATAAGATCTGATTGTTGGCTTGCTGGTTTATCAGACCATAGAGCTATAGGTAGTAGAGATGGAGTTTGATCCCAGATTGTCTGGGTCTAGTATCTAGACATCATGAGATGTTGATTCCTGCTTGCATTGCATAGGAAAATTTCAGAATTGGACCAACAAAACCTTCGTATGGTTATATTGGGGGGTTCCTGAGTGGTTATTTACTTTTCTGTCTTTCATTGAGAATACTTTATAGAGAATACATAGTTTTCACAAAGGAGGGAGAAGAAGATTTGTTATGTTGGTCCATATGTACATGGCAGTGGTCTTTCCTCTCAGAGGCACAAATCGGTAATTCAGCAGGGAATTTAAAATGGGGTGAGCCAACTGCTGAAGGTACGTATGCGTTGAGATAAACTGAGGCTAACACGTGTTTCTTTTCTTTCTTTTCTTTATTTTTTGCCAGTCTTGGGGCTCAAACTCAGAGCCTGGGCACTGTCCCTGAGCTGCTTCTACTCAAGGCTAGCATTCTATCGCTTGAGCCACAGCACCACTTTGGCTTTTTCTGTTGATGTGGTATTGTGGAAGAGAACCCAGGCAAGCACTCTACCACTAAGCCACCCTCCCAGCCCCTTAAGTTTATTTTCCACAGTACCTTTTTCCACATGTTTGTACACTCTGCTGGCTGAGAGTGTTTTGTGGACTCACAGCCTCTTCCTCAGCTAAATTAGTGAACACATGGAACAATCAGGACAGACAAACACTAGAGGGGGGCGGGGGGGGGGGCGGGCACAGAGTCCTGTGAAAGCACTCCTCCATTAGTAAACCATGCTTTTCTGCCTCAGTCACACACATGGTCTCCAGGACAGGAAGGGTGCCTTCTTGAAGTGCACTTGATCTTTAGAGCCACACCACGGGGTAAGTAGCAGTAAACCCATATGACAGATGAAAATATTTAACACTTGAGTAAAAGATAGCTGGTATTGCTTATTTATTTTTTTGCTCATTCTGGAGTTTAGACTCAGTGTTCTACCACTTGAGCCACACCCTGGCATGAGAGTTGGTTTTTAACCTGGTCTAAGCCAGGCTCATTGGTTCATTCCTTTAATTCTTTTTTTTTTTTTTTTGCCAATCATGAGGCCTGAACTCTGGGTCTGGGCGCTGTCCCTCAGCTCTTCAGCTCAAGGCTAGCGCTCTACCACTTGAGCCACAGCGCCACTTCAGGCTTTTTTCTTTTTGCTTATGTGGTGCTGAGGAATCGAATCCAGGGCCTCATGCATGCAAGGCAAGCACTCTACCACTGAGCCACTTTCCCAGCCCCATACCTCTAATTCTTGCATTCAGGATCCAGAGGCAGGAGAAGTATGAGTTCCAGGCCACATGGTTACACAGCTGGACCTTGTCCAAAACACATTAAAACAGTGTTGTATGAAAGGAGAAGAGGTTAGCACTCCCTTTAAGCCTGACAACATGCATACAGTTAAGACATTACCACCTACTTTGTGGCATCTAACCATGTATTTATGTCTAGGAAAAGCAGAAAAGTCAAAAGCTATGTCCATATGACGATATAAGATGATGCTAAGCGAAATGAACCCCAAGATAGGGACACAAGAGGTTTATCTTTATTGCTGTTGTTTTTTAATGTACTTATAATGTACTATGTGATTTTTTTTTTTGTTTCTTTTGTATGTTCTTCCCCCATGGGATCATGTTTCAAAGCCAGCCTGGGCAGGAAAGTCCGTGAGACTCTTATCTCCAATAAACCACTAGAAAACGGGAAGTGGTGCTGTGGCTCAAGCGGTAGAGCCCTCGCCTTGAACTGAAGACCTGAGGGACAGCGCCCAAGGCCAGAGTTCAAGCCCCATGACCGACAAAAAAAAAAAATGTACTCATTACCATACTCATGTAACAGTAACTCCTCTGTACAGTATCTTTACAATAAAAAAAATATATATTAAAAGACACATTAAAACAAAAATAGTATATCACTGGGTGCCAGTGGCTCACGGTCTGTGATCCTAACTACTCAGGAGGTTGAGATCTGAGGATGGCAGTTTGAAGCCAGCCCAGGCAGAAAAGTCTGTGAGACTCTTATGTCCAATTAACCACAAAAAGCCAGACGTGAAGCTATGGCTCCAGTGGCAAAGCACTAGCCTTGCACACAAAAGCTCACGGACAGCACCCAGGCCCAGATTTCAAGCCCCAGGACCAGCAAGCAAAACAAAACTGGTATATCCTCCAGAGTCTTCAGGGCTGCCCACCTTCTCTACTGTGCCATACCTTGCTCAAGAGGCGTCTGGAAAGGAAAATCTTAATATATATGTAATACATATGTGGAGGCATGTAGCCTCCACACAAACCATCTGACACTCTGCTGCTCTCATGGGCTTCCATTTACCATCTGTGACTTCTGTGTGTGGGTTTGTGCGTGCATGCATGTATGCTGATACTGAGGCTTGAACTTAGGGCCTGGTCACTGTCCCTTAACTTTTTCACTCAAAGCCAGCGCTCTATCATTTGACTCACCTTCACTTCCAATTTTGTAGTAGTTAATTGGAGGTAAGAGTCTCACAAACTTTCCTACCTGGGCTGCTTTGAAATACAATCCTCAAATCTCAGCCTCCTGAGTACCTAGGATTTAGGTGTGAGCCACTAGTACCTGGGGTGACAGCATCTTTGTTACCTGCTCTGTTCACCTTTTTCTCATGAACTGATCTTTAAGATTTTTATTTTTTTGCCGGTCATGGGGTTTAAACTCGGTCTGGGTTCTTGCCCCAAGCTTCTTTTGCTCAAGGTGAGCATTTTACCACTTGAGCCACAGTGCCACTTCTGGCTTTTTTGAGTAGTTTATTGGAGAGAAGAATCACAGAGTGTCCTGTTCGGGCTGGCTTCAAACACCAATCCTCAGATCTCAGCCTCCTGAGTAGCTAGAATTACAGGTGTGAGCCACCAGCACCTGGCTTTTAAGATTATTTTAATATCTCAGGAATTCCGAAGCAGAGCTGGGCTAAGCCAGCCATACACGTCTTAGAAAAATAGGCATTCTCTATAACCTGAAGATGACCCCTGCAGCCTTGGCCTTTGTCTTTTTTGGCTCTGTGTAGCCCACAATTATATAACCTGTAGCACTTTTTGGGGGTGGTGGGGGGACTGGTCCTTGGGCTTGAACTCTGGGCCTCCGTGCTGTCCCTGAACTCCTTTTGCTTAAGGCTAGTTCTACTACTTGAGCCACAGCACCACTTCCGGTTTTCTGGTGGTTAACAGTTATCTAAAAACCTCACTGACTTTTCTGCCAAGACTGGCTTTGAACCGTGATCCTCAGATCTCAGCCTCCTGAGTAGCTAGGATTATAGGTGTGAGCCACTGGTGCCTGGTGCACATTTTGTTTTATTGAGGTCCAAATTACATACTCTAAAATTCATACTAAGGCTGAGTTACATGTATTTTACTGAATTTATACAGCTTGCCTTGCCCATTCCCTGGGGTTAGAACAATGGCTTCACCACAGAAAGTTCCTTCACACCCATTGGCACTGAGGCCGCCCTTCCACCTCCATGCCAGCTGTCTGTGCTCTGGAGTCTTTTTCTCTCTATACTTTTGCCATTTAAAAAAAAATTTAAAGTAAGTTTATTTTTATGATATATTTTACATCAAGCACTTGAATCAAAACTCAATCTCTGTATTTAATCCTTTATAATTACATCTAATTATTATCTGAAAATACCCACTGAA